TACCCCTCCAGGAGGTCATAAGCGTAGGGATTGGAGCACATGCTTTTAGGATAAGTCAGGGTCATAGGGCTGATGGGAACAAGGGACTGCTTGAGTAGGCTGTTCCACGAGGAGGCAAAGCTGAAACAAAGGCCAATCTGTTTTCAAAATTTGTTTACAGGAATTTACCCTGGATGTCAGACAATTATTTTCTTGCCAAAAAGATTAAAAGAAAATGACACAGAGAATCAGAAGGTGGAGTGAGGTTTTGTTATGGGGCAAAAGATAATGAAATTGGGGGCTGGGGTTCCTAAGGAATTTTCTTATGTGTACTGGAGACCAGGCATTGAGCTCATTTCAAGAAATTCTGTATAAAGTCTTTGTTGATGGCATTTTGTTGTTAATCCTGATCCCAGGACATTTTTTTTCTACATTGATTTTTTAGAGAGATTGGAAGGGAGGGAGGGAATGAGGGAGAGAGAGAGATAGATAGATAGATAGATAGAGAGAGAGAGAGAGAGAGAGACTGATATGAGAGAGACACCTTGATTGGTTTGGTTGCCCCTGCCTCTATCTACATACCTTCATGGCCCGAAGGGTCTGAGGATGAACTTGAAACCCAGGTATGTGCCCTTGACTGGAATCAAATCTGAGACCCTTCAGTGCATGGGCTGACACTGTAACTGTTGAGAAACAACGGCCAGGGCTAACTGGTATTTTTGACCAAATGAAGGGTGAGGAACTTAACTAAGGTGCTATAGCAGAATGAGTGTTTAGAGATGACCAGCCTAGTGACTATTGTGCATCTTGTAGAGTAAGTCTGCTGTGACTATCAAGTACAACTTGACATGGTTAATTGTGTGTTGTTGTTTTTTAACTTAGGAGCCCAGGGTGAGCAATGCTGGAGAGACAGTCCCAACTCCTGTAGTGTGCGTGACATTTATATACTCTTTTTTTCTCTTTCTGGGATCTGAGCCTGCCCAGACCTGGAAGAAGTACAAAGTGATTAATTGGTTTCCTTGTGGAATCTGGGCAGTGGCAATCCCAGCCCCTCCTCACTGGTGGTTGGCAGAAATAAATGAAGCTGGAGCCGCGCCTTCCATTTGGCTTGCAGTCAGGAAAAGGAAGGAAAGCCAGCCAGCTTAGCCAGGACTGTAAACGGAGATGGACCCCAAACGTACTCACTCTGTGAAACTGAATGATGGGCACTGCATGCCTGTGCTTGGATTTGGCACTCTTGCTTCGGAAGGTGTAAGTCAAACCAGGGGACCAGCGGGTTAAATGCAAACAGCCCTACCAGGGCCTAGTACATGCAGGGGTTAGGTGGGTGAAGGGGGGCGGGGGGTTGGAGGGACTCATGTGGCCTCCATTTCACCACCTCTGGCTTTGTACTCAGTGGGAGGATGAGCTGTTGCCTCTGAGGAGTCAAGAGTCAGAGGCGATAATTCTGAAGGTGGATTATATTATTATTATTATTGTTACTGTTATGGTTATTTAATGTATATGGAATGCTTACCATGTATTTTAAGTACTTTACATGCATTATCTTTAATTCCTCAATAACTAGCCCAGGTAAGTGCTATGCCTCTTCTCATTTCTAACTTGTTTAATTCTAAGCTTGGCTGTGCTTCCTGGACCCATCTCCCCCTCAGTCAGAGTCACTCTGAGCTTTGTTAGAACCCCTGCTGGGCAGAGTGCCAGGAGGAGGGGACAATTAACATGATGCTTCTGGCAGCTTTGTTGTGGGTTTGTGGGACTGGAAGTATTTCCCACTGAATTTCTGTCATTGAAACCTTGGTCCTACAAGGAGCCATTATCATTCTAGTGTTAGGCATCCAGAAAGGAAGCCTGAGAAGCACAGTAACAGTGAAGACAGAACTGTGCTTCTCATTAGATGTGTTATCCACATGTCTCCATAGTGTATGGTAAAGCACTTAGTATCCAACTCTGGTCATGGTGAGGTAGTGGCAGTTTTGGGGTTGCTAGGGAGGGATTGCCCCCATAAATGACAGAGGTAAAGCCATTCCATCTTGGTAGAGCTATGACATTAAATATCAATCACCAATAACCCTGAGACAGGGAAGTTTGTTTGCAATGACATAATTATCCATGTCTCCACTGTTATAGCTTCAGCACAAGGCATATCTTACATACATTATATTCAACTTTTATTACTCTCATTAAAGACAGAGAATAGGACAAAAGATCCCATAATCCCCTCACAAGAATAAAAGTAACATGTGCCTGGCTGGTGTGCTCAGTGGACTGAGCATCGCCCCATGCACCAAGAGGTCACTGGTTAGATTCCTGGTCAGGGCACATGTCTGGTTGCAGCTACTGATAGATGCCCGGTCAGGGGCAGCTGATGGATGTTTCTATCTCTCTCCTGCTCTCCTTTCCTCTCTCTCTAAAATCAATAAAAACATGTTTTAAAATAGAAGTAACATGTGCATCTGCTTAGTGAGTACAAAAAGTACAAAGTAAAATATATAGAATCTTCTTTTGCATACTAATCAGAGTTCTTTTTGTAAAAGCAACTCCCCCAACCTTATTGGCAATTTACTGCAAGTCAGGTCAGGGACAAGAAGTAGGGCCCAGCCCTAGCTGGTTTGGCTCAGTGGATAGAGGGTCGGCCTGTGGACTGAAGTTTGTGGGCTTCATTCCAGTCAAGGGCATATACCTTGGTTGCAGGCTTGATTCCCTGCTCTGCTGGGGCATGTACGGGAGGCAACCAGTCAATGTGCCTCTCTAGCATCAATGTTTCTCTGTCTCTCTCTCTTCCTTCTACGCTCTCTAAAAATCAATGAAAACATCTTGGGGTAAGGGCTAATAACAACAAAAAGTATGGTCCAGCATCCATGCATGTGACTTCTTTTGTTCAGTCAAGTGTGTTTTTTGGAAGCGTGCAAACTCAGTGTCTCAGATTTAGTCATTAGGCATTGACCATTGGCCATCTGAGGCAGGCCTTATACATACCCTGCTGACTTGCCCAAAGGCAGTGCCTGAGTGGTGAGGGGAGGAGCAGCCGCCAGCTCTCTGGGCACCTCCTGCACCCACTTGCTCTTATTATAGATTTTTTTGATTTGACTCAGGTGTCCTGTCCTCTCACTCCTTTCACAGCATTTCTGATGCTGACCAAAAGTCAGCTTCATGTAACCATAGCATGTAAAACCAGCATGTTGACTTAGTCACCTCAGAGGCTGAGATAAATATTAGAATGAATAAAGCAGTGTTTGGCTTGGTGGGCAGAAAGAAACAATAGTTTTTTATTTCATGTGTGTGGCTCTCAAAAGAATCCAGGTAGAATATGTAATTATTAATTAATAAATCAATTGACCTATTCCACAGTCAAGAGTAAACTTCAACTTGATATTAAAATCTATCCTAGGAGTGGAGGGAGTTTACACAGATCATAGTTCTGTTTTCCTGGCATTTAGACAATTAGATAAGGACAATGAATGCCGGGCTGAACAGCTACTAACAACGCTTATATCACTAATACCAGGGGAAGCTGAAATGTTCAGAAAGAGGGAGGCTGATGTGAGCTGGAGTATTTTGGGGAGACTTCAAGGAGAAGGTGAGCTGAACTTCAGGGAGGCTTGATGTCAGGCACAGACAATCTAATGAGCAGTGGGATTGGCTCCATTCAACTAGAAGAGGCAAGCTTCTACTGCAGTCCTTTCACAAAAGCTCTGATGCTGACCAAGGGCAGCCTCACACAGCCCCTCCCATGTGTGAAACAGAAGACACAAAGGACTAGAGACAGAAGGACAGAAAATTGCCTGGTGTAGAGAGAATGGACTTCAGCCAGAGTTCTAATATTTTCCTATGGGAAAAGGGGAATTTATTTCAAGACCTCTTTTAAAAGTTGGGCTGAGCCCTGGCCAGTGTAGCTAAGTGATTAGAGCAGTGGTTGCCAAACTGCGGCTCACGAGCCACATGTGGCTGTTTGGCCCCTTGAGTGTAGCTCTTCCACAAAATACCGACTTCTGCGCATGGGCCACGAAGTTTCAATCACACTGTACATGCGCACCCGCATGTGGTATTTTGTGGAAGAGCCACACTCAAGGGGCCAAAGAGCCACATGTGGCTCACAAGCCGCAGTTTGCCAACCACTGGGATAGAGGATCAGCCCATACATCAAAGCATTGTGGGTTTCCTTCCTGCTCAATGGCATGTACCTAGGTTACAGGTTTGATCCCTCACATGCAGGAGGCAACCAATCCATGTGTCTCTCTCACATGGATGTTTCTCTCTCTCCCTCCCTCTGCTGGAAGCCATTCCATCCTTGCTGCTTGACACAGTCGCTTCAGGGAGAAACATCTGCACAGCATATGTTCCAAGGGACCTGGTGTATATAGCATACTATTTTTAATATGTTTGCTCCCCTTCTTAGTGCTATGTGTTCTAACCAGGGCCACCTCCCCAGAAAAGGTTGTTTCCCCAGCTGGGAATGTTTCCCCAGAGTTAGGGATTAATGGGACTAGGGAAGGGAATAAATCAGTAAAACCCCCTAGTGTTACAGAAATACCAAGTACCATTTATGAGGAACTTAGACTAATACTGTCAGCAATAAATTTAGGACTTGCTAGGCCCACATCCCCAGGGGTCTACCAACCAGAGGAAGTACCAAAGCCTATACCCCTAAAAACTCGCCAACACAGGGCAGTCCCAAGGAAGATTACCAGTACGGCTAAAAGGACAACTATCAAACAGTTAAAGAAATACCGCTGCAAACAATGCAGGCAGGCTCCTTATCTAAAAATCTTACGTGAGCTATGCAAGCAGAAAGACTTAAACTAAGTGCCGGGCAGGTAGTTAATCACCATAGCTAAGAACAATCACTCTTAAGCTACATAACCTTTACTTAGGCCATAGAATAGGAAAACCTCCTTCAGGTTTTTCCTTATAGCTTAATAGTGGAGCAATAGAATAGTAACCTTAGAATAGAAATAACAAACTAGCCCTAATAATGGAACACAGAGACTAACCTTTAGAACAGAATGTAGAAACATAGACAATAGATAAGATTAAAATCAACAGAGCTAAATAGAAATAAGATTTTTAGCAAAGGTCAGGTAAGAAACTGTAAACATAAAACAAGAAACTGTAAAAGGTCAAAGGAGGACCCAAAACATACCATGATGTAACTATAGAGGCATGCTTATAGAATAAAATAATATAAATACAGTTGTAACAGGGAAATAAAAAAGAACCTGATTATGCTGATCATCTGAATGCTGTCTCCATGTCCTTCATTCTTCACTGACACCGTCCACACCTTTAGGAACCCCTGGACCGCTGGGGCTGGATCCCGGCATCCCTCTATCCCTCCCTCCTTTCCAATCACTCTGAAAAATCAATGGAAACATATCCTCAAGTTAGGGTTAGGATTAACAACAAAAAAGTTTGGATAAGATTTTTAAAATATTCATGATGCTAAACATGATAAGATTATTCATTCAGTAATATATCTATCCATAAATGCAATAACAACAAAACCAAAACTTATAACACAGACTCTCTTCACTTGCTCCAGTTGGGTCCAAGGCCTTCATAATCTTTCTTGGGTAACCACTGACAGGTCTGATCACCTGGTTATTTCACTCTTTCTTGCCTAGTGGTACTGATCTGGAACAGTGTGAGACTCTTTCTTGCCTAGTGGTACTGATAACTGGAACAGTGAGCCAAAGGTTTTTCTCCCAGGGCCGTGTCTCACGATGCCGAAGAATGTGCTCCGCAGACCAGAAGATATAAGCACAAGTGTGGAAAATTTATTACAAGCAGATTCAGACTCCCTTCATGGAGAGGGGGCACAATAAAAGGCTGCCCGTAACGCCTGGTAGTCTAGGGATATATATTTGCTACAAGCCTGCTTCCATATTTATCCATGTCATCACCTGATTGATTCCCTCAATTGTTCTTGCCAAGCAACAGACCTGAACTTTCCCTGTTTCTGTATATTCTTCTCTGTTCCTATGCTGAACTTGCTCTGTTTCTATGTGTTTGTAGACCTGGTTGCTATAGGCCCTTTCTTCTTTCCCCATGCCTCCCTCTTTGAGTCCAGAAACATTTTATTATTTCTGCTTGATTGGTTTCTGTGAGTCCCCTTTCTGATTAGGAGACCCCAACTTGCTGTTGGGA